GGGTTCAGGGAATCTCGTAGTCGAGCAGTCTCGACTAGAGCTTTCTTACTTGTTAAATTACTTTAATCTAAAATATGAAAAAAAATAAAACCTCAAAAATCTTCCGGAAAATAGAGCTTAAAATAATATATTTTTCTTTTGTTTTAAGTCTTTGGAAATATTTGTACCCCTTAACCTATTATGACTTTAGATATTGTTCAGACTCAATGAATGACTAAAAGATACCCTGTTCAAATGTATATACGTTCCGAAGCACAAGCCTCTAATACTTAAAATAAATATGTATATACTCAGTAAATCTGTAGTCTCCAGGTCTAATAGTATTCAAGAGAGGCAGAAAAAACTAAATCACTTTTTCAATTGTTCTCCATAAAAAGTTATCGGATGGTTTATCGAAAAAATAAGACAAACTTGTCTGCGATGATTCCGTCTGCCTGTTACATACTTTTTCACAAAAACATTATACTCTGATTTTCCATTTTGAGCATATGAGCTTGCTTAGAGCACGATATGAGGACTCGTAGAAGATATAAGGATATGAAGCTTGGTATTTGGGGTCGAGCCCGCTTTACCCTGATTAACATGGGCTTACCTGCATGGCATACGCCTTGCGCCACTTCATTATGTGCTCCGTCTGGAAGCGCACTTTTGAGCGAAGTTCTTCAATAATAGCTCGTGCTGTGTGCAAGTCCTTTGGATCCTGATTCATCATATTGAGGCGCAAGTTGCTCGTGTGACTGGAAACCGGCAACGGAGGCGGCCATTGAAACTCTAGGGGCGGCTGATGCACATCCGTAGGCAGCGAGCCGCGCGGCTGTGCCGCCGACTTGTTGGACTTGGGTGTGGAGGGCACAGTGGCGCCACCCCCTCCGGTCGCTCCGCTCACTCCTGCAATGCCCACGGTCGTAGCCGTCATGGTCATGGTAGCCGTGGACGCTGGCTGAGTGGGCTGTTTTTGTATGCTGCAGGCCATGCTGCCGATGCTCTTTGCGAATTGCGTGGCCCGGCCGGCATACATTGGGCCCGGGGCAGAAAATCAAGGAGCTGTTGTGGGTGTAAGGCTATGAGCTCTGGGTTGTAGGCTGTAAGCTGTGGGCAGCGAACCGCTAGACGGCCAGCATGCGCCCCAACGACTGCAGCTGGATTGTTATCCGACGAGTTGTCCTGCTGCAATGAAAAAAAAAAAAAAATTATTTATATATTTATTGATTGGCGAACATTTGCGTGGATATTCAATTATGGCAGAGACTGTGTTTCAGCTCTGTGCAGCGCATATCGATGGAGTTGAGCAAGTGTTAAAATAGTAATTGATTGATAAAGAGCTAAGCTTTTAATGGGTTCGCAACAGCTCAACAAAATGACAAACGAGCTGTAGTTATGCGTGACACAAGGGAGAGAAGAGAACCTTTGAACAGCTGTACAACTAACTAGGTTTGAATATAAAGTCTGGCACTGCATATATACTCCAACTCTAGATTATGCCAATCGAATTCGGGTCAATATGGTTAATTCACGTAACAAAAATATGTTGAAAATATATTTATTTTAAGTTTGAAGATGTTTTTTGAATCGAACTTATTTTCCTTATTTCGAATGCAGAGCCCAGTGAATATAATTTTAATGAATGATTCTGAGTAAAAACGACAGAAAAGTCAAAACTCTAGGACTGGAAAAATAATAATATGTTGTGTTCAATAGTGTAAAAATATATCTTAGAAATCACTAGAATCAACAGACCGGAACAACTTGATACTTTATTATTCTAGGGTAAGTACGAGTAAATGTTCCAAATTTCAAGTGATTAGATTCAACAGCTGCGAAAAGATTGCATTCTGACTGATAGATCTTAAGACGCAAGGCGAACTTTTCACCAAACCTATAAACTGGTGTAAGCAGTATAGCAAAGACTTAGTGTTGTACAATCTTGTTTGAATGTTAGTTTTAGAGTTGGTCAATCTCGCTCAATCTAGCAATCATATTCAATTCTTACTTTAATGCGGGAGTATTCACAGCTATTGATTATTGTTATTCCCCACACTCGTGCGTTGGAATACTGGAAGTCATAGTACATAATCAACCAGTTTTAGCTCTGTCTGACAGTTAGCCACGTCGCATGTTTGCATTTGAGTGCCCGGACTTCGACTCGACTCTTCACATTTGTCAGGGCTGCCAGCATGGGTCACTCTTACAGTGCCTCGCCCACTCACCTAGAATAGACCAGTGGCACACCTTAACTTCCAGCAGGACAATGTGCTCAGAATTGAAGTCAGGTTGAAGTAATTATTTCTGTGTAGCTGCGTGGCAGTGGCTCGTGTTGCGCATTAAAATGCGGTGAGATGGCGGCATAAATATTGCGCATACGCCGCGTGCGCCAGCTGTCATGCAAATTACATTTGGCCGAAAGCGAGAGCTGAAAATGCGATATTATGCAAAGCGGGGGTAATTATTTGCATACTCCGGCCGTAGTACATAAGTTCAATTCGCGTTTAAGCGCCATTCAGCAAATTAAATGCATTGTCGGCCGCTTCTGGAAATCATAATTATAATTAAAATTATTCATTTATATGCGCTATGATTTAATTACTTCCGCTTCCATCCTCGCCCCCGCCCACATTCACGCAATGCGGCACACATTTACTCAGGTGTGGCATATTCTAATTTCAATTCGGATATAGGCCCGACAAGGACGTCCATTACTATTTTATGGCTCGTTGCTCTGCGGTCATTTAGGGGTTTATTACTTTTGGCTTTGCCTGATTAGAAGATTAGCGCAGCGACTCGACGCCCGTGCAATGAGCAGGAATATTGTCAAGTAATGTGAAAATTAAAGGTGCGATAACTGTTAAGGTGTCACTTATAGCAGTCAGACCGTTGTCAAATATCTAACATAGGTATGCCTATAGTTCAGTATAGGAAAATCGCAAAAGGCAAATAAACTTTTGCTTTTGCTTAGATATAAAAGTTATTCTGTCTAGAGAGACATACATAAAATAATAATTATTAATATTGATTTCCTTTTTTCATGTTTTTTAATTCGCTTTAAGGGCAGCCAATGCTATCTAAAGCTTTCGATTAGCAAAGGTAAATAATAAATACATAAATAACATTTCGATTTTTGAAGCTATATGGTATATTTTATGGTATATTTTTAATAAGCTATCTCAAACTATTTAAAAAAAAAAAAAACGAATTAATTCGTGGCTATTAAAAATTAAGAATTATCAAAGGAAAATTACAATTACACAATATTGCTTATTAAAATAATTAATTTGAACCTAATTATATATATTTAGACTTATAAATAAATCCTCATCAATTGATAACACCTATTATTAAATTAATGTTAAATAAGAATTTGTATATTAAACTAATTCATTTTATCTTTATAATATCTAGTTAAAATTATTTTCAAAAACTATTATTAATATGGAAATACTAATGTCAACTTAAAATTGGTATGATATTAAAAATTAATTCATACATAAATTCTAATTGATACAAAATACTCTTTGGTTGCTTTGATTAGAGACAATTTATAAATTAATTAAATTAATAAAGATTGATAATTTGACTTGTTAAGTTCATCACAATTGTTAATCTGATATATTCTGAAATAATAAGAATTATTTGAATATAAGTGATCTCATTTGTGCCTTATGAAAACTGATAAATATATAACTGATAAATTTACATATATGTAAATGCCCCACGCCCACATTTGACGTTGTTTTGTGTTTGTTAGTTTGCGAGGGCGTGGCACGAATGAGATTTCGCAGGCAACTTAATTGAGACAACGCATTTAATGTTATTGGGCGTTAAACAACCCGTTGGACAGCCGGCAATAAATCCAAGTTCCTAATGCGGTGCCATAACAATCGAGTGGCCCTTGGAGCTAGGAAGAAGACCTGCTCATTGAACTGTGGGCAAATGCCATTAGCAGCTAATAGGCACGTGAGCTGCATGATTCTCCCAGGCTTTTCCTAGCGGGCTGCACACATCTTTCCCAGGCTGCATGCTAGAAGCCGAGGCGATTGTCATAATTAAAAATGATGAATGAGTTGGCAATTGAGCAGAAGATGTTGCCAATTGGATTCGACGCAGATCGTTGCGCCGACAAACAGACAGACGGACGGACAGACGCTGGCTCAGACTCAACAATTTTCATTTGATGCGACAGCCGGACAATTGTGATTACAGTGAGCAGGCCGCGCTGTTTCGTGCGTGACTCTTGGCCATGGCCAGAACATATTTGTTAATTGTTTTCAATTTCGTGCAGCATTCCCCAGTTGCCCCAGCCGCGCATTCTTTGCTGTCATTATTAGTGTGTGATGATCGAAACGGAAGCTCTTTAGCCATTCTTCCTCTGGCTCTCAGCCTGTGGCCGCCCTTGCTGATGAATTGCACAAATTAAGGCCAAGAGTCATCACAAATGAAAATGTTAAAAATGTTGCCCTGCGTTTGCCTCGCTTGAGCTGCTTCGCCGGCTTTGCCCAGAAGTGCTTCTTGTCGCTTGCTTGCCAAACAAAGGAAGACTTGGCTTTTGCAATCAAATTGCAGTTGGCTTAGCTCAGACCAAGTTCTCTTGCATTAACAAGATTTTTTTAATTACACTCAACAATTCAATTTCACTCAATTAGCAGGCACGCAGTTTGTTCCCAACTGACAACTGACTGACGCCAGATTCCAGATTACGGATTATGCATTAGCTCAACTGTTATACAACTAGTTGGCTTTTCTTCTTGGTCTCTAATTAGTGTAAAGCTCTTACCTAAACAGCTCAGCTGTTGCTGCTTTTGCTGTTGCCTTTGCCAGCTTTTCCACTTGACGTAATCACGCCTAATGCTTGACATTAATTAAACTGTTCCGGAGTTTGGACTGCATCGTGTTGCACTTTGAAGGACAACACCGGATGCGCGTATGTGTGTGCTGTGGCATATACTCGCTCACAATGCGAAGAGAGATACATTTTATAGGTAACGTCCCTAGGTCGTTTAAAAGGCTATTTTCTTAGTCTATTCAATATTGGGAAACCGCATAATACTATATAAAATCGTGTTAAATTATATCTTCCACAGTTTTCACGCTTAAGCATTATATATTATTTTATATGTATTTGAGCGTCGTTATACCCGGATAACCACTTAGGGGGCCTTCGCTAAAAGTCGAATTATACTGTATTATATATTATTGTCATATGTCGAATAATTGTTATCATAGCTTCTCTTGTATGATGGGCGAATATTGTGCAGTTGGTTCTCTCCAACTAGTATGCAGTCAAAGCTAAGTGACTTCGAGGCATAATGCATATATATACATACATATATACAAGTACATACATATGTACATATATGCCTGTGCATGAGTGGAATTATGTGGGAGATTGAGTGCGTATTAAACTGATTGTCAAGTGGCTGGACAATCAATTTTGCGTTAAATGCTTCGCCAGCCATCGTCGCTCAGCAAACTGTTGCTTTTGATAGCGTTTTAATTAAATTTTAATAACAATGCCAACAGACAGCGACAAAAACAATCAACGTTCAGCGAGCAACAGCAACAAAAACAGCAGCAAGAACAAGAACAGGATCAGCTTCAATGGCAGGGGAAGTACAAGCGGGCGAGCCTTTGGCCAGTTTAATTAAATTATTCACAGCGAGCCTAATGATATAATTTAACACCTTGCTGTGCGCCGTTGCATAACAACAGCGACCACGCCCCTAATAATGAGAGCAGATGAAATACAGCACTGCCTATGCCGAATCCGAAATACCCTGCAAGGAGGAGAGCTGTGGGAACTGTTGAAGCATATTAAGCAATCAAGGGTTTTCAGCTCTCAAAAGCTTTGTTATAGCCAATTGAATTAAATTCGCTTCAACTTCACTATATATATATATATATATATATATATATATATACCTATATATATATAACCTAATAATATATATATATATATATATATATATATATATATATATATATATAACCTAAACCACTTTTCATTTAGTTTAGATATCTTGCTCTTTCTGATGCACACCATTCCGTATATAACTATGGAAGCGGGAGCCTAAATTAATTAGATGGTCTACAGGTAGGCAAAACATAATTAGCACAAGTTAATTAGCCATTACAACTTAGCTGAAGTCATAGATGCAAAGATCAAAACTCGATTT